TTTTTTTCCCATTTTTCCTGACTTAGAAACTTAGTGATTTTCATCAAAATTTGTAAAAGACTGTACCAGTTTCAATGAGGATCCTTGAAACTTCACAGTTAGATTGCACACTAATTGAAGTTGTGCACCTGCTATTATTGAATTGTGTTAAGGAATTTCCCCATTTTTTCGAAAAATAGTAACTATTTTTGTTTTCAAAACAGATTTTTTGAACTTCTCAAAAAGTTTGCAATCCAATTTAGGCTTTTTTCACAATTTTGAATTAAATATTTTTCATTGTACACCAGGAGTTTATGAACAATTTTTATACGACCGCAAAAATTAAAAATTTTTTGGTCGTATATTGGTATGACGTTGGCGTCGTCCGGCGTCGTCGTCGTCGTCCGGCGTCGTCCGAAGACACATTGGTTTTCGCACTCTAACTTTAGTTTAAGTGAATGGATCTCCATGAAATTTTACCATAAGGTTCAATACCACGAAAGGAAGGTTGGGATTGATTTTGGGGGTTATGGTACCAACAGTTAAGGAATTAGGGGCCAAAAAGGGGCCAAAAATAAGCATTTTTGTAACTTCCAGACAATAACTTGTGTGTAAGTGTATGGATCTATCTGACATTGTACCACAAGGTTCCATATCACAAAGGAAAGGCTGTAATTGATTTTGGGGGTAATTGCCTCAAAATTTTAGGAATTAGGGGCCAAAAAAGGGGCAAAAAACAAGCATTTTTCTAGTTTCATGACAATAACTTGTGTGTAAGTGTTTGGATATTTCTGAAATTGTACTACAAGGTTCCATATCACAAAGGGAAAGCTGGAATTGAGTTTGGGGGTAATTGCCCGAAACGTTTAGGAATTGGGGGCCAAAAAGGGGCCAAAAATAAGCATTTTTCTAGTTTCCAAACAATAAGTTGTGTTCAAGTGTATGGATCTCTCTGAAATTGTACTGCAAGGTACCATACCACAAAGGGAAGGCTGGGATTGAGTTTGGGGGTGATGAATCATAAGGGGGTTCAAAAAATTTGGGGGGGGGATTTTTTTTTTTCTTTTTTTTTCTTTTTTTCCTTTTTTTTTTCTTTTAAAATTTTCCATTTTAAGTTGGTTATTTCTGATTAATATTTAAAAGCAAATAATAATGATATGGTAGGAGATACACACCAAACAGGATGTGTAAATTATTATCTAATAAGTATTGTGCAATAGCAAGAAATTTTCAATTGCACAGTATTGCACAATAGCAAGAAATCTTCAATTGCACAGTATTGCGCAATAGCAAGAAATCTTCAATTGCACAGTATTGCGCAATAGCAAGAAATATCCAATAGCACAATATTGCGCAATAGCAAGAAATTGTCAATTGTACAGTATTGCGCAATAGCAAGAAATATTCAATTGCACAGTATTGTGCAAAAGAAGATACTTCGTATAAATTGCTTATTTCTTGATCAATTTCAATGGGGTTTTATTCTTGAAATCTTGGGGTTCTTTAATATGCTGAATCTAACAGTGTATTAAGTTTTTGGATTTTGGGCCCCGTTTTTAAATTGGTCCACATTGAGGTCCAAAGGGTCCAAAATTTAACTTTGTTTGATTTCATCAAAAATTGAATTATTGGGGTTCTTTGATATGCTGAATCTAACCGTGTATTTAGATTCTTAATTTTTGGTTCCGTTTTCAAATTGGTCTACATTAAGGTCCAAAGGGTCCAAAATTAAACTTAGTTTGATTTTAACAAAAATTGAATTTTTAGGGTTCTTTGATATGCTGAATCTAAACATGTATTTAGATTTTTGATTATGGGCCCAGTTTTCAAGTTGGTCCAAATCGGGGTCCAAAATTAAACTTTGTTTGATTTCAACAAAAATTGAATATATGGGGTTCTTTGATATGCTGAATCTAACCATGTATTTAGATTTTTGATTTTTGGGCCCTGTTATCAACTTTGTCCACATTGAGGTCAAAAGGGTCCAAAATTTAACTTTGTTTGATTTCATCAAAAATTGAATTATTGGGGTTCTTTGATATGCCGAATCTAACCGTGTATTTAGATTCTTAATTTTTGGTTCCGTTTTCAAATTGGTCTACATTAAGGTCCAAAGGGTCCAAAATTAAACTTAGTTTGATTTTAACAAAAATTGAATTTTTAGGGTTCTTTGATATGCTGAATCTAAACATGTATTTAGATTTTTGATTATGGGCCCAGTTTTCAAGTTGGTCCAAATCGGGGTCCAAAATTAAACTTTGTTTGATTTCATCAAAAATTGAATTCTTGGGGTTCTTTGATATGCTGAATCTAACCATGTATTTAGATTTTGGATATTGGACCATAATAGGTGAATGTCCAATTTAAAATTTTTAAGTTCTTAGACCACATTCATTCTGTGTCAGAAACCTATGCTGTGTCAAATATTTAATTACAATCCAAATTCAGAGCTGTATCAAGCTTGAATGTTGTGTCCATACTTGCCCCAACTGTTCAGGGTTCGACCTCTGCGGTCGTATCTGCGCCCTGCGGAGCATTTTATTTAAGGTTAAGCTGTGGCATACAACTAAGAGAGCCACTGAGGATGTTGCTAACTTGGAACAGACACAGCAAAATTTGGCAGGACTAAACAATTTAACCCTGTTAAGAATTATGGCTAATGACATGAACCACTGTCTCCAAACATGGCTGAAACTATTACATAAAACAGAAAAATAAACAACATAATTTCTAGAAAATTGCTTAAAGAACAATACTTGCTGCCATATATATGCTAAATAATACATTTGTTATCCTGAATAACTGAAACTGTCATCAAACTGTAGTGAAAATAGAAAAGTTTATCTAATTTTCTTATGTTTATTAATGGTGAAAATTTCAATTACAAAGCTTCTTATGAATAACTTGGTGAGTGTGCTCATTGTTTGTCTGTTTTAAGGAATTTCCCTGAATATATTCACTAAATTAATATTAAAAATGCACTTGGAGAGCAAGAACCACACAAGCAATTGTGGCTTCTTTGAGCTATAGAAAAATACCAGGTGAGCAATTGAGATAGTTTCAAGTTTTTCAAATAAATTTTTGGTAACAGTACAGTATGTTAAAACTGCTGACAATACAAGATAATGTCACAGTGTATCTTCTTTTGATATAAGAGGCCTATTCACAAGCGTATTGACACACACACACAAATATGTTACATACTGGCTATTTCGCTAACTTTTAAAATATGGCTACACTTGATAAAAAAAGAACATGGAATGTGTAAGATAATTAATTAAAAACTCCTGGAAAATTCTATTAAGGTCATATTGGTGCAAAATTTTGTGACTGAAATGATGAATTGATGAACCCCTTTTAGAAACTTGTATGACGATCCCAGCCCCCATTACACACTGCCACTATACTGCTAATAAAAAGAAAATTAAACAAAAAACAACAGCATAGTCTCAGATTCGATGTTGTATGTTCGATTGGTGAGTGGATAGTTTGAACGTATCACTGTTGCTGTAAGAAACCATATTTTCCTTTTGTATCTTTCGCCTCTCTTTGAAGGGAAAAAGATATTCTTTACCACAATTAAATCATTGATTTGTTATATACAAATCCTTGATTAAGTGAAGAGAATAGATAACATCTACAAACGAATAATACCGTGTTTTTTTGGTATATGGTTATTTCCGAATACATTTAGAGAAAGTTGAAAGGTTGTCAAGCAACTATGATGGAAGACTGTTAAGTTCACAATAATACAGAAAACCCGGTTTACTGTCAATCTGACATATCATTTTTAGTCTCGCCTGCGACACAAGTCGCGGAAAGCTAGACAGCTAGGGATAGTTTTTCCGGCTTCGGCGTCAACAATTGTTAAGTTTTCTGCTTAAGTTGGTTTGGTAGGATCTATTTGTAATAGATCATTGATATTTAATATAAAGTTGCATTATCATCTGTACATATCAGTTTAACGACTATTTCGAGGTCCTGCCCCCTAGGTCATGGTCCAGCGACTAAATCAGCAATTTTCAATGTAAAGTTTTCTGCTCAAGTTAGTTTGATAGGATCTACTTGTGATAGATCAATGATATTTTGTATGAAGTTGCATTACTATCAGTACATATCAGTTGGACGACTATTTTCAGGCCCTGCCCACTAGATAGTGGTCCAGCGACTGAATTAATAAACTATAATGCTGTCCATCAGATCGTTTTTATACGACGCAAAAAAATTTTGTGGACGTATATTGGTATGACGTTGGCGTCGTCGTCGTCGTCGTCGTCGTCGTCGTCGTCGTCGTTATCGTCCGTCGTCGTCGTCCGAAGACACATTGGTTTTCGCACTCTAACTTTAGTTTAAGTGAATGGATCTCTATGAAATTTTACCATAAGGTTCAATACCACAAACGGAAGGTTGGGATTGATTTTGGGGTTATTGTACCAACAGTTAAGGAAAAAGGGGCCAAAAATAAGCATTTTTGTAACTTCCAGACATAACTTGTGTGTGAGTGTATGGATCTCTCTGACATTGTACCACAAGGTTACACATCACAAAGGGAATGCTGGGATTGATTTTGGGGGTAATTGCCTCAAAATTTTAGGAATTAGGGGCCAAAAAAGGGGCAAAAAAACAAGCATTTTTCTAGTTTCATGACAATAACTTGTGTGTAAGTGTATGGATCTTTCTGAAATTGTACTACAAGGTTCCCATGATATCACAAAAGAAAAGATGGAATTGAGTTTGGGGGTAATTGCCCAAAACGTTTAGGAATAAGGGGCCAAAAAAACCTATGCTGTGTCAAATATTTAATCACAATCCAAATTCAGTGCTGTATCAAGCTTGAATGTTGTGTCCATACTTGCCCCAACTGTTCAGGGTTCGACCTCTGCGGTCGTATCAAGCTGCGCCCAGCGGAGCATTTTATTTTCTGAATTTTATGCCGAAAGGCGAGACATATCTCTGTGTCAACAGTTTATTTTGTTAAATATTTTCTCACTTTTGTAACGATCGAGTAGCTTGGTTTACCGTTTTTACCTAATAATTGTTGGTCTTATTTCTATTCTTTTCTAGTTTTTCTCTTCTTAATCTGTTGATTTTCTTGGCCATTTCTATCATTGAGTCGGTCAATAAAATCGGAAAGCAGCTTGGATTGATAGACTGTTCCATAAGTTTTACAGAACCGTTTTTAGAATGGACAGTTTTGTATTTCATACAACTTGTTACACCTAAATTATATCTAAGTCGTTCGTTAAACTTTTCCTGTAACTCTATATTGTATGATACATTGTGTTGTTGGTGGGCTTCTTTATTTCCGGCTTCCGTCGTTTGATGAACAGCAATAATTGTTTCAGTCGTATCTATAACGGAAAAATTCATCAATCTTGCATTTGCAACAATCCAGTTGTCAAACCCAGGTCTTCCGACTACTAAATCCGGTGCATCTTTCCACGGATAACCACTTGTTGTTATGAAATAGTCGAGTGCATCACCAGCATATAGTTCTCCTCTCTCAGAGGCTTTTAGAATATTTTTAGAAGACGATGCTTCAATCTCTGTCACATTGACTACATTTATTCTTCTTCCGGTTAGTAATAATTCATTAGTTTCTGATAAATTACTTTGCAAAACGACAATTAAAGTTTTAACTATTGAATCTGTGAAAAGAATATCTGAATTTGAATAAGCAATAAATGAAGATGAGAAAGATTTTTGAATGTCCATGTACATATATTTTAGGATCGGCAAGCCGATGGAAGATTTTCTTATAGGCATAACTCGCCATCCTCTTGATTCAGCTTCCTCCCTTACAAACTCCTCATTCGAAAACAAAACGGGCGTGCCAAACGGTGACAAAGATTTCCAGTTCTTAACTGTATTATTATGGCACAAATATTTTTCTTTTGTTGCAGTCCATGTAGTAAAAAGTATGAACAGTGGCGTAGATTTCCTAGAGCCAATAAAGCTTTGGTATACAGGAATTACCTTCGTGTCTATGTAGCCTTTTGTGAGTTCTGTAAATTGAATTTGCTCCAATAGCATTTTAAATATTCCGATAAAAATGAAGCATATCAAAATGCGTTTCTTTTTAAATAAGTTGATCATCAGTGTGTTCCTGTTCATACGTTTTCGCCACTTTTAGATTAAGGACAGTGGTGAGTGCACTTAGTAGTGGTAAAGTTGAAACGTAGTGTATTTTAGCATTTTCTGAGAGAGGATGGACAATATGGCTTTACTGAAAAGAAACACAGAATAATATCTTTAGAATTGTATTGTTTAAGGAATAAGAAAAATATATGTGTAATATCTCATATTCAGATTGGACTGGTTCATGTTTTTTTTAAAGAAAAAAAACGTTCTTCAAGCAATACGAAAAAGTATCTAAAAAAAAATTATCGATTGTCCGTCCTTCCGTCTGTCTGTCTGACCATCCGTGGGTGGCAACACTTTTTCTTATCCCTATTTACAAATTCTGATTTTAGTGGAATAAGGCCAAGTGCCCATAAGTGCTTTAGATTGTTCAGGTTTTAACGAGATTACTTTCTGCTGTTAACTCTATCTTGACCAAAATAGAATTAAGAAAGAGGATAATAGGTTGACCATATTGACGTTCTCCTGAAGCCAATATAATACATTGTAGCTTTCTAGAATTCTTCAATTGCAACAAGGCGAAAAAAGTGGGTTGTCCAACTCCTATATTCTTAAGTTGCGTTAAATAAAGGAGAGGGATAAAAGCAGCGAATACTAAATAAATAGATACTTACATATACATGTATTACATATTAATGTATAGTATTAGATAAATGTTTAATTCTGTTCGTGGTTCTAAACCATAAGGCCACGCCAATTTTTCTTTTAGTGTTCTAAGCACCCCACTTTTATTTGGGATGTTAAAGAAGGAAATATCAACAACTGGTTCTAGAATATCAGAAGTTTTTTTTTCAATTGGTACCTGAATAATCAAGCTTGCTCGCTCCTATAGTTACAAATTAAAATTGGACAAATATCGATGTATATTTTTACGTTAGTAAAATGGAAATGTTTTTTTATTTTATAAATCTGAAAAAGAAACTAAAAATGTCATAGTTGTGGCCTCAAATACATTTAAATTTGTGGTGTATGATTTAGATCAAATATTACACATAATGCACTGTCAACAATCGCCTTTGTGAAGGTTAATTGATTGTATCAAATTAATGTATATATATCTTTCTTATATGCATAACGAAGTTCAATAATTTTTGAATTAAAGAATATGTCTCCCACATGAAATGCTTTGATTCGTTTCCGGATTAGGTCCTTTTTGTTTTAATAAGCTCTTCAACGTTTGTAGTTGGACTTTGTATTAAATAGTTGGCTTCGAGCTTCACTGTAGAGACATACGTTGTCGAAATGCGTTTCTGGTGCAGTAAAATTGGTACCGTTAATAATATTGTAGATTTCGGAGACAATTTATCCTGTAACTGATTGGGTTATTGTATCCCGCGCGACGCGTTGCTGGTGACAGAAATACTGGCCGTCCGTTCGTCAGTCCGTCTCACGGTCCGTCCGGTCTTGTTAGCGCTTTTATGTGTACAATTCTTGCCAGATTTTTTATTAAACGTGTATCATAGGTTTTTATCAGCATTGTCTCAGACAATTTCGAAAATCAGTGCCGATTAACAATTTTTAAAAGAGTTATGCCGCTGTGAAATATTAATTATATGGAAAATTCATTTTAAGCGCTTTTACGTGTACCATTTTTGCCTGAGTTTTATCAAATTTATATCAAAGGTTTATATCAGCAATGTCTTGGAGAATTTCGAAAATCAGTGCCGATCAAATAGTTTTAAATGTGTTATAACATATGCCCCTGTGGTTCATAAGTGTTTCTCGTTTCTCGTTTTCATATAGATTAGACCGTTGGTTTTCCTGTTTGAATTGTTTTACACTAGTCATTTTTGGACCCCTTTATAGCTTGGTGTTCGGTGTGAGCCAAGGCTCCGTTTTGAAGGCGGTACTTTGAATTATAATTGTTAACTTTTTATACATTGTGACTTGAATGGAGAGTTGTCTCATTGGCACTCATACCACATCTTCTTATTTATATATTCACAATTATTCAGATCATTCAGAGATAGGACATCATCTGTACGGCGGAAAGTGAAGTTAAAGGTCGATTCAAAAGCTCTTAATCGATTCTATAGAGCTTATGTTATTTGAAAATAATGCACATCGACTTTAACAAAAACATTTGACTTTGAAGAGGTAATGCTAGCTTACTCATCGCACGAATGCCTTTGTATGATCACTGTAAGTCCCATACGCATAAGGAATAAGTCGGTGAGAAGAGTTGCACAGTTGGTCCCCATTGCCAATCCTACTGATCATGACAGTTGGGATCCACTAAACGTAACAAATGTAATATGAAACAAAATCTAAATCATCTTGAATGATGATAGCACTTTCAGATTTTTCGAGATTTTGTTTGTCAGTTTGACATTTTATAATATCCACATCCGATTAACACATACCTAGAATTATTTGTTACACAGTAACCGTGTCTAATGCCCAGTTTGGATTTCGGATGGAATAGATGTTAGAAAAGGCCGCAGATCCATTATGGGTACATATGTCTCTGCTCTGGTGTAGCTTAAAAAGGTGATCCAATTAATCAAATTTGGACAAAATTCTAAAAACAAACAGAAAAACAGCCTTATTGTGATTGCCCAAGACTGAACCTCTTTTATAATAGTAATTATAAGTGGTGTAGTATATTTTATTAAAGTTTATTTTTGGTGGATTTCAAATGTGTAAATGGCAAGCAAAGCAAAGTTTTCAGTGTTGTTTTTATATTGCCAAGGCGAAATTTAAAAAGTGACATATATCACTGAGAGATTTATAATGGCATTATGACCACAGGCACTTGTCTCTGATTTTTAAATCCTAGATACCTTTAAGTGTTTTTATGGTAAACATATCTTATGTCTGGTTATTTTCTTATGCGAATATGATGAGGATGGTTTTTGACGACCTTGACTACCCATGAGGGTCTTGCACGGTCGGTTATGCGAATAATTAATTTTTCATTTTTTTAAAGATAATATGTAATTTGACACGTGTCTAACGGTTAACTGATTTTCGGCAATATCAAAGAATCAAAGTGCTGGATAGCACCTCTGGGAAGTTTGCAACTGTAGATGTGTCATGATTATTTCAAATAGGTTATAGATGTGTATTATTTCAAATATGTATTTAATCACAGCTTTGATGTTTTTAACTAAACCATTTTCTTTTCAGCAATTATCAAAAATTATTTTTTTTCATTGTTTGTCATTTAAATTTCGATATTTCTATTGAAACCTTAAACTGTTGTTCTAAAATAATCAAATATACAATAAGCTCTGTTAAATTTCTTTATGTGTCCATGCCATATCTAGGGCATGTGATTTTATAGTATTTTTTTTTCCATTTGTAACTGGGCATAACCCTAACCATAACAGTAAAATGACGGCACAAAATTCAAACTTGATCTTGGTTTTGTGGTTAAAAGTATTGTGTAAAAGTTTCGTAACATTTGGTTGAGACACATAAGTTAGAGCATGGAATTGAAAAATATTTGTAAGTGTTCCTCGGAACCCGGTGTCTCGCCTACTTTTGCTGTTAATCGCAGGCTCAACAAAAATAAGGAAAAAAGATAATAAAAATATTCCTCTCTATACTGTCTTTTGATTGTTAGAAGCTTCTGTCCAAGTCCAAGTAAAAATCCAGGATAGTTTATGAATCTAATAAATGTTTTAAAAAATTTAACTGCAGACTGTATGTAATGTTAACTGGAAGAAAGGCTAAGTCCATTAATAAGTAAAATAAGGAAAAACAAGAACAAAATTTTAACTAAATTTCCTTCTAGATACTAGCTTTTGATCATAAACAAGCTTCTGTCCAAGTTTGGTACAAATCCGGGATAGTTTAAGAAAGTTATTAAATTTTAAAAACTTTAGCCACAGAGTGAATGTAATGTTTCCTAGCAGAAAAATTAAGTCCATTTATAAGTAAAATACTGAAAAAATGAATAATTTTTTTTTACAAAATTTATTTCTGGATACTATCGTATGATCATAAACAAGCTTCTGTCCAAGTTTGGTAGAAATCCAGGATAGTTTAAGAAAGTTTTTAAAATTTCAAAAACTTTAACCACAGAGTGAATATTTGTGGACGTCGCCGACAATATGTAGGATCGCTATGTCTCGCTTTTTCGACAAAAGTCGAAGGGTCGACAACAATCACAATTTTTAAATTTGTAAAGAGGCATAACTCTAGAACAGTAAAACTGACGCCACCAAAACTCAAATCTAAACAGTGTTTTGTGATAATGAGCTTTGTGTATAAGTTTCATAACATTTGGTTGAGACAAACTAAAGTTAAAATCGTAAACAAAAAATTCAAGCAACTTTTCCATTTGTTAAGGAGCATAACTCTAGAATTGTAAAATCGACGCCACCAAAATTCAACTTGACCTGTGTTTTGTGGAAATAAGTCTTGCGTATAAGTTTCATACAATTTGGTTTAGGAAAACTAAAGTTAGAGAACAGAAACTAATTTTTGGATGTACGGACGTATGTACAAGTAAGGGACGTACATACTAACAGAAGAAAAAGGGTAAAACTTAATACGGTGGTGACATAACAATAGCAGTATGACGAAAGGAATAAACAGTTTATAAACACTAGATTCATAGAGGTGCTTATAACCCTGTAACACATTTTAAAGTTGATGCTGTGAAATTTAGCATTGAGGCAATAACATTTGAGATTTTTGGTTCGTCATAATTATTTGGACTAGCACTAAGAGTAAGAAAGTCATTTAGCTATTACATGGACAGATTTTATCTAATCATGTTGCTACAGCATTTGTCTTGATACACTGAGTTATTCTTAGTAGAAGCTGACTTGTCTGCCTTATCCTTGTAACGATTTGTGTACAAATGTTATTGTTAATCGTAACACTGAGGACATGGGCTGTGATATGTACGAACTGTCGTTGAGTCAATGTTTTTCAGCTGTCAGTTTGATCCACGTGACTGAGCATGCTGGACGAGTGAAGGTCCTTAAATTCACATTGGAATGTGAAATAGCTAGTATTTAAATAGCGGAATTCAAAAGTTTTCAGATGTTTTTGGCATCAAAACCTTCCGATCGATGTTTTGACAAAAACATGCACTTTTCTATCATAGCCGGTATTTACCTTTAC